ATATGTACGATGTACACGGGTACACCACAATGCCTAGCCAAAGTTTCTATTGGCACACATCTACAAATTCTGCTCAATCCAACCTGCACATCAGTCCAAGTCACAGAGTCTTTAACACTGAAAGACGGAATCAATGCAATAATTAACTGTTCATAGGCACTTAGCACCTGTTGGGTAGGGCACTGTCCTGTCAAGACTATAGTTTAGGGGGTTTCCCTGAACGTGTATGACCCTCGAGTCTCTTTTTTACCTTATTCACTCAAATCCAAGGAATAAAAAGTCATCCACAGTAATATTACTGGTAGTAGTATGGCTAGTTATACTTAAGTCCAAACGGCTTTCACCCTGAAGGTCGGCCATGCCTGGAAATTTGGTGAATAACTGTTAGTTTGCGTATGCAACAAAGAGACCGTTCTACTTAAGTTGTTGAGTTGAGGTGACAATAATAAGAATAAGAATAACAGCTGGTATGTACCCCATGGGTGAGATCTGCCATGGGCTAACGCATCTGTCGGTAAAAGAGTTAGAGAAATAAAAACGAGAAATACATGGCATACAGTCATCTTGGCTAATAACGGCTGCGGATATAAGAACAATTCCCGAATAACGACAGATTTTCCATGCCCAGAGCAAAGTCCCATCCAACTGTACTACATATAATGAGACTTCGGGTGTAACGACATTTTGCGAATAAGGACACTTTTTTGATGCCCCGCCGAATGTCATAAGCGAAGTTGACTGTACACACCCTCTCCATTCTTTTATTCCAGGGAAACCTTCTTCGATTCCACCATGAGCCTAGCCATGAGGAACAAAATATTACCGTATTTTCCGGGGTCTAAGCCGCACCGGGGTATAAGCCGCACCCCCTTTTTGAGGCAAAATATTGACTAAAAGTTGGTATTCGAAGTATAAGCCGCACCCACAAACCAAGATTTTTCACACTCATTGACAAAAGGCCTTTCTACAAATTTATTATGGTTATGGAGCTAAATACCATGTTAGATCAGATTATGAAGTGTTAGTGCACCACAGGTTTCTGCAGAGATACACATTATGGTGTAGCCCGCGCACTAAAACCAGTAAAAGTGCCGGGATAGCAACACAGGAGCGAAGCTGTGTCGAATGACATGTCACATGACGTCAGCATACTGATGTATGCTAAGCATTCATTCGCGCAAGCATATTCGGTGTATAAGCCGCAGGGGCGATTTTGGTCCGATTTTTAGCGAAAACAAGTGCGGCTTATACCCCGGAAAATACGGTAAGTACAGAATATTTTTTACCAAAAAGATATTTGAGTAAGTGCAGATATTTTTAGCATGATAAGCTAGTACATTGATTCACAATGCCGAGCCAAGCTTCTCTGTCTTGAGAAATACCTTCCGCTTCTACAATGGAAATGTTCAGTTGAGTCAAGGTACCCTAAGGTCAAGAAGAGACTCAAGGGTCAGACACGTTCAGGGAAACTCCCTAAGCTATAGTCTAGACGGGCAATTGTCAAACTTAGAAGTTGCGACTTCGGCAGTAATAGTCATTAAGTTGATTGTTCCAACTAGGAGCGTGTGTTACTAGTTGGAACAATCAACTTCATGGGTAATTGTCAGTTCAGCCAACAGCCTTGATCCAGCATTGGATTGTTCAATCTGTTACAAAAGAAGGATCCACAAGCGGGATTCGAACCCAGCACCCCTGTCTTTCTGGGTAAGTCAGGGCTCACCACGACCATACAGAATTCAAAAAGGGTTGACCACCGTTTTGAAAAAAATGGCGACGGTGATTGGTCAAATCCAAATAACCGTTATTGACGCTTTGTACGGTCGTGGTGAGCCCTGACAGTGGCCTACCGATTAGGCTACCGGGGATCACACACATCCATGGGTCTTTCTTGCTACAAAACTCACTGGTGTTGTCATTGAGCCACTACCAGTGATATCTTTAGCGGACTGTGTGAAAGCACCGGCAGAATTGCCACCGGTCGCAAAGATGCCAAGCAGAACTTGACAGGGGCCCATTATTTTCCGGGAAGTCTGTTGCTCACAGACTGCTCACAGACACGTGACCAAACAACAAGTGAGGCAGAGTACAGCAAGGGCATGACAATAAAGTACAGAGTACAGTGTACAGAGTACAGAGAGTACAGAGTACAAGAGAGTATGGCAAGGGTACATGCGAACCAGTGTGTATCACTGTACATTGACTAGAACAGCAGCACCATAATGGCTGATAGAATGATAGAGTGGCTAGGCTATGCTATGCCCGGGTGCATTCTAAGCGTTGAATGGTAGGAGTGGGGGAGAGGCAGGGGAGGCTTGATTGGCTTCATTGCAACCCAAGCGCTCCACATAACAATAGATAATGGAAAATACCCAGGGGGGGGGGGGGGGAGTGGTAGATAACTGGGGATTACGGGAAAAAGCATGCATAAAATCAGAGGGTCCAGAAGTGAATGGAGGAGGGAACAAAGTTTGAGCTTTTTCGTTTTTTCTCTAGTTCATAGCCTGTCTGTTGCCCACTCCCAGCGGGTAAGGCGCACGTTGACCTTCCCTTCGAACGTCTGCAGTCCTTTCCTTGTTGGTGGGTTTCGCCAAATGCACTGAGGGAGTAGGTTCCAGACCTCCACAATAGCGTCAGGGAAGGACCGAAGGACATTAGTTCCGTCCTCTGAGCGGAAGAGTGGAGGCGAGCTGGAACGGGTGAGAGAGATGCTGTTGTGTGCGTCGGCTATAGCGTGATGTGTTGGTAGCTCGGGGTGGAAGAAGGGTGAGAAGCATATCTGGGAAAGTTGAAAAGTGGATCTTGTGCGGAAAGCAGAGTGCTCAGACAATTCTGCGGATGTCCAGGCTAGGGAGGTAGGCTCCATCACCGATTAGGCGAAATCCACAGCGTTGGATGGCAGTGAGGCGAGCCAGAGTGGTGGGCGCGGCACTCATCCACACGAGCATGCCGTCCTCCAGAACTGGGCCGACAAAGCCCTTGCAGATCATACCACAACACCTGGAGTCCAGCAAACGTGAGGCTTCCCGGAGGAAGCCAATACGCTGGACACCTCAAAGAGCCAATTGACTGATTCGAGCTGTGAAGTGTTATGTTATGACGTAATGTCGTACAACGTTAGTTCTACTGTGTATGCACGCTGCATATCTTTGAGAGTCTTTTCTGTCGTTTACAGATGGAATCTTCTCAGTTTTTTCACTTCGTTTATTCTAACTAATAAACTACTTGTCTCTTGTCTACCGAACCTAACATGAAGGACATGTGTTGTTCAAACAGCACATCCAACGACTTCAGCTGGTTGACTTCAGGAACAAGTATGCCCTGGAAATAAGGCTGGAATACAATCGGTGGAACGACGACCGTGTTGCGGTGGTGAGAAATTAGGAGGGACTGAGTCTTTGTAGGTACCGACTTAATCTGCCAGGCCATTCCCCAATCTGCCAGCGCATTTGCAGCAAGCTGGAGTGCGGCAGCATGGGTTAATATTCACCTGTATAAGGTGGTGTTATCAGCATTATACACCAAGCTGGACCCCAGCAGGTAGGTGATCCTCAGCATTATTCGTGTAAAGAAGAAATAGAGTCGGGACCAAGGTGCTACCTTGGGGGACGCCTGACATGATGGGGTAAACAGAGTACTGTCCTCTCACTACAGCCTGGAGCTTGCGGTTGGCGAGGTAGCTTCTGAGCAAGGGCAAGAAGAGGTCCTGGATCCCATACCGCTCAGCTTTGTACAGGACACCAGGGTGCGACACTTTATCAAACGCCCCAGCAATATCCACTTCCAGGATGCACACACGTCCTTCACTGTTGGAAACTTGGCTCCATTCGTGTTGAAGAGCTAGTCAGTTTGTCAGTTCCGCCAAGTCTAGTGCGGAAGCCAAATTGGCGAGCAGAGAGAATGGAGTTGCTATCTTGTACAGACTGTATTGTCAGTTTCATGGTTCCTGTATGCTGTTTGCAGACTTTTATCCGTGATTGTGTCAACTTGATACTTTTGGTTGTGCTTCGCCTATAAGAGCATGCGCTTATCAGTCAGAGTGTGCTTATATCAGAATACAGGCACATGCGCCTATATGTGCGCTACTACCGTACATTTATAAACGTCTGTGCGTTAAGTTATTACATTTTTATGTGACGATGTTCCACTGTTGAAAGTCATGAGAAAACGTTATGAAACTTTTCAAAACTTTCCTCATTTTTTCCTTTGTTATGAGTGCACAATTGATCTTATTCCCGTAGCTATGCAAAAGACGTTACTTCAGTAATGTCCGGCGCTAGCCAGGGTCCACACAGCTTTAATTTCGTGTTTGTTTGTTTGTTTGTGCCATCGGCATGCCTGGCGATATCCCGTACCTGTCCCGTACCGTACCAGCGAGGATAGCATCAGTATGCCTGGCGCCATCTCGTACCTGTACCGTACCGGACCATCAAAGACAGGTGGCCGCAATATTCAAATAGGTCTTTTAATTGCAAGATCATAACGTGAAGCAACTTGGAAGAATGAGTATGTATGCGAAGTGTATCGGGAGAATGCATGCAGGGTGATAGTGCGGGTTCGAATGCTAGGTTATGTCTTAAAAGAATAGGAGAAATGAAAATTTATAACATCCCTATGCTTTTTTTGCCTAGGTCATCAAGGTGGTAGACGGTGTCGTATTACCCTCGAATGTAAAGAGAAAGTGGACTCTCGCTAGGCAAAAAAGCATAGCGCAGGGCCCCGAGCTTCCAAGCTCTCTCGCTTATTGCCATTTTGTAGAAAAGAGGGTGCGCGACTTACAATTGAGCATGACTTTCTCCTGAAGTGAATAATATCAAAACCATATGGCTCAAACCTGAAAATAGGGGTGCGACTTATAATCGAGTGCGCTTTATACTGTAGTCTGGGAACACGGTAGTTGTGGGCAATCGGGTCAGCAAGACGTTCCACACACCTAGCATTCACCCTGCTCACACCTCTCATATCCATGGACAACGACATAACACTGACAACACTACTCTCACCTGTAATATCTGCTCTTCACGTTTGTGCGCCTTGAGCGTTTTATGCAGCTTTTCTCTCCACAGCCTCGCTCGTTCCAGCTGACCCCGGACAAGTGAATGTTCTAATTCTGCATGCTGTGAAATCTACATCACGTGACCAAACAACAAGGCAGAGTACGCATGGGTACGACAAGAGTACAGCAAGGGTGCGGGCAAACAAAACAACTTCTTTTCTTTTCTTGCAATGGTTGGCCATCATCCCTCTCTCCCACTTTGTGTGCCAATTGGTCATGTACCACGAGTTGAGTGAAATAAATATATTTTTACTTCCTATGTTTAAGGGGAAGTCCGGTGAAAAATTTAAATTTCACAGTCCTTAGAGTTCGGGGCGTTGAGTCAAATGGTCTTTGTCCGAGGAGGCTGCGGACTATGGTTCGTCAGATTCGCCCAATCGAACATGTGCGAATTTAAGCTCGCATCACCCAGATCCAGGTGATGACGTCACAGCGTGCAGCCAGGTAGCCACACCATCTAGTTGTGCACAAAACGGCCATATTCGGAGCGCAACAAATTGGGAAACCGTGTGTCGCAGCTGCTTCAGACCTAGACCATTCGATTCAGTGTTACAAACACTACGTACCCTGTGATTTTCAGCTCGGTAAACTTCGAGGTTATACCGTATTTTAGCCGTTTCCGAGTTGACTTTTTCCGTCGGCATGCAATGGCCTCTACGGCTCTAGCGTGCATGCTACTGCTACTCCCGCACTGCCGTGCTGGGATAGCTACAACAAGACTCGAGGCACAAGACTTAGAAAACTAGTCAACACACGGACTTGTCAAGTCTGTACACTCGTATCAGTCATATTGTACGGTCATGCAGTCAGAGAACGTGCATTTCTCCTTGCCGGTGCCGGTGGTTGTGCTCCCGCCTCATTATTTTATGCTACAGCGATGAGTGCACAACCGTGAAAAGTGACAAAACAGCGAACAACTCCCGGACCTAGAACTTTCAGATTCCGTAGCGTTGCGAGCGAAGAGTCGTGCCCGGGGTTCAAAGAGCCTGCACTGTTCTCCAATTGAGTAGTCCGAAATATGGTAAGTCGCACCAAAACATCACCATGTGGCAGGCTACTGGAATCTAAGCGAATCGGTATGGAACAACATTGAGAGCACTCCCATCACTCTTCTCCATTTTGGCGACTCGATCTCCAGCGATCTGATAATTAGATCTGTAGTGGATGCACATCCCACTGTTTGTCATTGTATCCTTTTATGTAACATGTATGCATTCATCCGGCCGCGCTGTGCGACATGCCAGTTGTACCGTACGCACTTTAGCTGTACTTGCCTGCCTGGCTTTTCCTTTGATCTCTCTGTCGTTCTCTGTATTCCCACACACTTGTGATTTGTAGTAACGAAGCTAGTTACAAGATGTCTTTGGTGCGTTTGTAGAACCACTACATGGTGTCAGAAGTGGGATTCGAACCCACGCCTACAAAAGTAGTGATTTGTAGTAACGAAGCTAGTTACAAGATGTCTTTGGTGCGTTTGTAGAACCACTACAAGATCAGCCTCGTCTGCAATAGCTGCTGCTTCTTCATCAGTTGGAAACTCAGTAGCACTCACTCTTGACCGGCCCGCGCAGCCATTTCTTCAGCTGAATGCAGAGGTTCTCAGCCCCAGACCGAACTCATGAAGGTCAGGCATGGCTGCATCCTCACTCTCACAAGGAGTTACGTCTTCGGGGTGGCTTGCACCACCTACTATCGGTCGCCAAATCATTTGAAATAGCACTGACACTATTGCTTCCACGCACTCCTTTTGACCTAGCTGCATGCTATGACGTTGCGGAGGGTGTGGCGCGGCCGCATGACGTCATGGCAAAGCCCCGGAAACTCACTTTTTCAAACTGAAATATCTCGAGAACGCTTTGTCGGAGAAGCGTGGGACCAACACCATTCAACTCAGCGCCCGAAACTCTACCGACCCTGAAATTTAAATTTTTCACCGGACTTCCCCTTTAAGTAAAACTTCATTGCGTTTGTAGTGTTCTTGTCATCATAATTCTTTCAGCATTAGATATACATGTCAGTGATGTATCCCCTACAAAGGGTAGCCGAGGTGTCGGCCATTGTTCTGACAGGCCTTTGAACCTCTGAAAAGCATTGAGTCCTTCGAAAAAATCGGCGAAGCAAGACCGTTTGTCGACAGGATGTCACCAGAACACAACCCCAGGCGCGCGCACATGACACCAAAGTGCGAAACTGAGAAACAGTTTGAAGGACCGCGTTGCTCGAAGAAGTGATCAGAAGCCGGCCAGCGCTCAGCCACCGCTGTACCAGCACAAGTCGACAGTGCGTATCCGCACACAGCCAAAATCAATGCACTTCCGTTTGCAGTGCAGGGGGAATCAAAAGTGTTCGACATTCAGGTTGCCGGTCCGCCGGCGCAATGTCCTGATCTCAACGTCGACAACTTGCCATTCTTCCACAGCCTGTAGACAGACGTGTCACTCGTGACGAAGTAAACCAAAAAGGAACTTCTTCAGGCTGTGGAAACGTGCTGGCACGAGTACACCGCTGCGAAGTTGAGGAGCATTTGGTTTGGCCTCCTTGGGTCCAATTTTTGAAATTGTTTCTATGCTGTGACATAGCACTTTCAAGCCCTATTCGAACCCAGCACCCCTGTCTTTCCGGGACAGGGGTGCCACCGTGGAGGTCGTCAGGCTCACAGTTCGAGTGAAGAACTTGGCAATCTCCACGATCGAATCGAGTCTTGGCAACTTGTAAAGGCTGCAGAACAAAAGCTGGCAGCGCTGGAGGCGAAAGTCAGTGAGGATGCAGATTCGATGTCATTGAGAGAGCGAGTCGTCATCAGATTCAGACGAAGAGTGAAGCTGGACTGCTTTGAAACGAGCTGTGTGACATCTGTAAATAAATATTATATCATATGCTGCTTTGTTATCCACTTTTGCAAAGCATGTTTGTAGCCGTAGGATGATTCGGACTGAACTGTAAAAATGCAACAAAGTTTTGCTCAACGGAGGAAGTAAAAACCCAGCGTGTATCACTGTATTTTTCACTGAAAACATGAAGAGCACAGCAAATCCATGTCGGGGCAACTTTGGGCGCAAACACAAAGAGCACAGCGAATCCGTTTGAGGCGTAATCTGTGCATTTTTGCTGAAAAACATGAAGAGCCCAGCGAATCCATTTCCGGTACATTCTGAAAATTCCCAGACTGCGCAAGCATGCCTGCGCAAACTGCAGATTGCTTGCGCATTGTGGGAAATTTCAGATTGCGCAAATTCTCTGCAAGCTGTTTCGGCAACAAAGGCCTCAAAGGAGGCACCACAGACAATAAGATAGCTCGTCGCTCTAGCGCCAGAGTGCTCTACCCACGAAAGGTACCGGGCAATGAGTAATGCAGCAGCACTACAGCAGCCTGTGTGTGTGTGTGTGTAAATGTGTGTAAATGTGTGTATGTGTGTGTGTGTGAGTGTGTGTGTGTGTGTGTGTGTGTGTGTGTGTGTGTGTGTGTGTGTGTGTGTGTGTGTGTGTCTGTGTGTGTGTCTGTTTGTCTGTATCGATTAACTCACACTGCTCTGGTGTCCCGGCTGTGCCTTCACCGAAGATCCAGAGTAAGATGTGTGACCATGCTGCCCAGGTCTGTTGCCAGGGCGATGGTACGGCGATCTCGTATCAGCGTATACTGCTGCGCCTCTCGGTCCACTGAGGGAGGATGCCGTTGGCGTGTTACCATACTGTGACTGGTGTAGACTGGTGCCAGTCTTTGCTGGCGGTGGGGGAGGTTGTTGCAGCTGCTGAGGTTGTTGTGGCTGCTGCTGTTGTTGCAGGATCCCATCCATGCAGGATCCACTGAACCCATGGGTCTGCTTCAAGAAGATCACATCATAAGGAACATAGGAAAGAAATTAAAGAACACATTGCCTGCCCTCGTCAATGACATGGCGAAAGAGCACAGTGATTCAGAGACCCGAAATGGGAAATGATTTTCACTTGCACAAGAGTACTGCTACTGTAGGCCAGTATTCCAAACACACAAGCATGCCTAGCATAGCCAGCAATCGCATGTCATCACGTACATTGAAAATCAACATAATTTTGTGAATAGACCTTTTTTCAGGATCACTTTTCAACGAGGACGAAGCAAAGTCGGCCGAACGAAGCCTAGAGGAAGAAAATCACCCTCTCCACTTCACCATCACGATACTGACATAGATACGAGATGAAACAACTACAAAATCCACAAGAAAACTGTACGGCCATCATCGCGCTGACTTTGGTCTGACTTTGGTCTGAGAATTTCTATCACGATCAAAAATGTACGAGGAGCACTCAAAAATAAGCCACAGACTATCGCTCTCTACTCCTTTTTCAAGGCACAAAAGTCGACTCTCCACTTTCAAACCAGGAGCCAGACATACCAGTGGTCCTTTTCAGCTGCTCCACGAGCGCAGGAAATGTTCACCAAGGGGCGCAGAGCAGCATCCATTCCAGAAAAAGAGCTAAAATACGAGTGAGACTGCATGCTTGAGTACATGTATGAGTACATGCAGAAAATAGTGAATTTCAGCGTTTCTGCTCCAAACAGCAACTAGCTTCGACTAGAAACAAATATTACACCAAAGGATCAAAGAACAACCATTTTTCTACAGTTTTTTTGCAGATGGCTTCCTTGTGCTTGGCCCAGCACGCCAAAAATCACACCTCGGAGGAGTACAAAAATTACAACTCTCAGATGTCCTCGATTGCTGACCATGGCCAAAGTCTCCATTGGAACACATCTACAATTTCTGCTCAATCCAACCAGCACAAGCCTCCAAGTTCTTTAACGTTAAGATATGGAATCAATGCAAGATTGTTTATATGCACATATATTGACCTTTGATAACTACCCAGACTCATGCATTAGTGACCACACCATCAACAGTATCAAATTCAAATATATTTTCTTTGACTCAAAGCAGACTCAGCGGAGGACGTTCAGGTTGGTTGCAACCAACCTGAACGTCCTCCGCTGAGTCTGCTATGTACTAAGCTCTGTCTCTGACATTGAGCACTCTCTGCAGCTCGGGGATCAACGGATTTTTCTTTTCTTTGACTCAATAAATACCACCGCACTTTTTCGTGTAGCACTGCGCCTTTCCCTAAAAAGGAGTATAATTTTTATAAACAGTATTTATTCGCCTTTAATAGTCGCTTCTCAAAAATGCGAAGACTCCACTGTAGTCATCCACTATATCCATACATCTTCACAACACTCTCCAAACGGTCTCTGGGCTACACCAATCACTAAAAGGAAAAGAGATATTAAAATTATTAAAATTTTCGGGCAAGGCCCATCTTCAGGAATGTAGTTACTGCAGACAAAACAGAGATTATGTACGTGACAAATACGAACATTTTGGCCAAAATGTTCGTATTTGTCACGTGTATACTGTATAGCAGGAAATTTTCGGACGGAAATATTTTCGGACAAAGCCAAATTTCGACCTTTCGTACGGATTATATTTTCGTACAGTGCTGCATACTAAATGCACGTGTTCGCAAGGAGTATGCATGTGTAGTGTACATAATTTCACATGAACAAATTTTAAAAATTCGACGAGGAGACAATAATTAATATGGCAATAAGTAGGACGAGCTGAAGCGACATTTGGACTACTTTATTAACAATGTAAGCGATGGAGACGATGCAAGAAACAATCTAAAGGGTAAGGCAAAATACATGTAAGAAGAAAAAGGCAATGGAAAAAAAGATGATTCGAACAAGTTTTCGTACAACACTCTCCAGGAATCACCGTTGTACTAAAGAACAAAATGCCTTTTTCTTCTTACATGTATTTTTCCTTACCCTTTAGATTGTTTCTTGCATCGTCTCTATCGCTTACATTGTTAATAAAGTAGTCCAAATGTCGCTTCAGCTCGTCCTACTTATTGCCATATTAGAACAAATTTTAGTACGGAATTAATTTTAGTAAAAAAGAGGCCGTGTACGAAATCGTACGAAAATAAATTCCGTCCGAAAATTTCCTGCTATACAGTAATGTCTGTTTTGTCTGCAGTAAATACATTCCTGAAGATGGGCCTTGCACCATTGATAGTTGCACAGTTTTGCGGGGCTCCCGCCTACCCTCCTGGCCTACTAGCCATGTGTTCAACAGTTGTGGCCCCGTACACTTTGTGTTTTGTTGTCGTCTTTTTATGTTGCTTCACATTTAAATTCCCAAATCTTTCTCAGCATTCTTCTTCCGTTTTTTTATATAACTTCAATTTTGTTTGCTTCCATCTACAGGAGTGGATGTCTTTTTTTCGATGGGGGATAGTGTTGTACATGTGGCTGCGCTTGTAGCTTTTTGTTGTACATGTGGCTGCGCATGTAGCTCTTTGTTGTACACGCTGCTGCGTTTGTGTCTCTTTGTCGTACATGCTGCTGAACCGTGGTACACGCTGCTGCGCTGTCTTCGAATAATCTGTACATGCGGCTGCACCGTCTTCTGTCCCCTCCGCATGCACTCTTTCTCGTCTTGTCCCCGTTGTATACGCATTTTCTCGTCTTGTCTTCGTTGTATTTGTCCGGTTTCCGGCTTTTCTCCATCGTCTTTGATCGTCTGCCGTCTTTGTCTCCCTTTTCAGTTCGGGACTGGTTGCATTACGCACAGGCACCAATTTCACTCCCACCGCCCCACTTTTCCTCGCGTCTTCACAATATATTCCCCTGTCTTGTCTCGTCTCAGTGTGAGTTGTCTCGTCGTCTCATCAAAGCAAGAAGAGAAAACTTGCTCTATAAACTAAAGGCCTTTTGTTGTGTGGCGCGGTCTCGTGGAGGAGAATACTTGTCCGGGCAACCTTTGGGCGCAAACACGAAGAGCACAGCGAATCCGTACGAGGCGTAATCTGTGCATTTCCCTGAAAAACATGAAGAGCCCAGCGAATCCATTTAGGGCGCATTCTGAATATTCCCAGAATGCGCAAGCATGCCTGCGCAAACTGCAGATTGCTTGCGCATTGTGGGAAATCTCAGATTGAGCAAATTCTCTGCAAGCTGTTTCGGCCATAAAGACCTCAAAGGAGGCACCACAGACATTAAGATAGCTCGTCGCTCTAGCGCCAGAGTGCTCTACCCACGAAAGGTACCAGGCAATGCGTAATGCTGCAGCACTACGGCAGCCTGTGTGTGTGTGTGTGTGTGTGTGTGTGTGTGTGTGTGTGTGTGTGTGTGTAAATGTGTGTATGTGTATCTGTGTGTGTGTGTGTGTGTGTGTGTGTCTGTGTCTGTCTGTATCTGTTTACTCACACTGCTCTGTTGTCCAGAGATTGCCTTCACCGAAGATTCAGAGTAAGATGTGTGACCTTGCTGCACAGGTCTGCTGCCAGGGCGATGGTACGGCGATCTCATATCAGAGTATACTGCTGCGCCACTCGGTCCACTGAGGGAGGATGCTGTTGGCGTGTTACCATATTGTGACTGGTGTAGACTGCTGCCAGTCTTTGTTGGCGGTAGAGGAGGTAGTTGCAGCTGCTGCTGTTGTTGCGGCTGCTGCTGTTCTTGCAGCATCCCTGCCATCCAGGAACCAGTGAACCCATGGGTCTGCTTCAAGGAGATCACATCATAAAGAACATAGCAAAGAAATTGAAGAACACATTGCCAGCCCTCGTCAATGACATGGCGAAAGAGCACAGTGATTCAGAGACCCGAAAAGGGAAATGATTTTCAGTTGCACAAGAGTACTGCTACTGTAGCCCAGCACTCCAAACTCACAAGCATGCCTAGCCAAATTCTGCATTGGCGCACATCTACAATTTCTGCTGAATCCAACCAGCACAAGCCTGCATATGGAATAAATGCAAGATTGTTCATATTCACATATAGTTAGTGCATGGCAGGGCTTCGCCGACCCTGAGATGAAGAGCCTCATGCTCTACATAACTGCATTACGACGAGCGAAACTCAAAATCAAACCGAGAAAGTGCCATCCCTTGCTTGCAGGTTCCATTGATAGTTGCACAGTTTTTCGGGGCTCCCGACTGGTAACCTGTTAACCCTCCTAGCCTACTAGTCATGTGTTCAACAGTTGTGGCCCCGTACACTTTGTGTTTTGTTGTCGCCTTTTTATGTTGCTTCACATGTAAATTCCCACGTCTTTCTCAGCAGTCTTCTTCCGTTTTGCTAAATAAGTTCAATTTTGTTTGCTTCCATCTACAGGAGTGGATGTCTTTTTTTCGATGAGGGATAGTGTTATACATGTGGCTGCGCTTGTAGCTCTTCATTGTACACGTGGCTGCGCGTGTAGCTCTTTGTTGTACATGCTGCTGAACTGTGGTACACGCTGCTGCGCTGTCTTCGAACGATCTGTACATGCGGCTGCACCGTCTTCTGTCCCCTCCGCATGCACTCTTTCTCGTCTTGCACTCTTTGCCGTTGTATACGCATTTTCTCGTCTTGTCTCCGTTGTATTTGTCCGGTTTCCGTCTTGTCTCCGTCGTATTTAATCGTCTGCCGTCTTTGTCTCCCTTTTCAGTTCGCGACTGGTTGTATTACGCACAGGCACCAATTTCGCTCCCACCGCCCCACTTTTCCTCGCGTCTTCACAATATATTCCATTGTCTTGCCTCGTCTCAGTGTTAGTTGTCTCGTCGTCTCAAAGCAAGAAGAGAAAACTCGCTCTATAAACTAAAGTAACTTGGCCTTTTGTTGTTTGGCGCGATCTCATCGAGGAGAATACTTTGTCCCATAAGCTAGACGTATAAGCATCGCCCAAGTTGACGACATGAACATCGGACATGCCTGAACATTTGGTGAATAACTGTTAGTTTGCGTATGCAGCGAAGAGACAGTATTTTAAAGGAGACGTTACCGTAATCTCGTGCATATAGGACCATGGTATTTATTATAATCGAAAAGTCGCTGTTTTCGTCCTTTCACAAGTGCATTTTGGTTTTGATTATAAGACCATGGTCATATAATTATGCGAGAGACAAACATCGCATCGACACGAACATGTGCAACAGTGAAAGTACGCATATCAATGCCAGTACAATGGAATCATGATGAACCACGTGTGGCTCTGTGATTTTCATTCACTTATATGTGCACGTTCTTATAAGCGAGAGTGCTCTTATTTTCGAAAATAAGAACATGTCCTTAAATGCGTGAGATTACGGTAAGCCTAAAATCAAATTCTCACCAGTTGCTGTCTTCGGGGTGCTGAGTGAAATGGTTAGGGGGTACGATGGGCGCCAATGTTGCAAAAAAGATCCACAGGCGGAATAGGGGTTGAAAGTGATGATGTCAAAACGGTCGGGGAGTAGTAAGTTCACGTCAGATTTCTACTTTTGGATCCTCTAAAGTGTAACTTTTCTATTACCTCATTGTGTGGGTGCATAGCAATCCTCTCATGTCGTATGCAGGTGTGACTTTTCTTCGTCACCAATTGTCATCCGACGCCCATTAGACAACCCAGTCAATTTCACAGGCTATATCTCCTTGCTGTGAGTATGACCGCTTGTATCCATACAAGAACTCGATCCATGTGGGTGCAATTTTTGAATTTTTGAAATTGTTTCTATGCTGTGACATAGCACTTTCAAGCCCTATTTGAACCCAGCACCCCTGTCTTTCCGGGACAGTGCCCTACCGATTACGCTTTAGATTAAGAGGATCACACACACCTGTGGGACCTTCTTGCTACAAAACTCACCGGTGTTGTCATTGAGCCACTACCAATGATATCATTAGCGGGCTGCGTTAAAGCATCGGCAGAATTACCACCGCTCGCAAACCTGCCAACCAGAGCTTGACTGGGGTCCATGCTTGCTCGGGAAGGCCATTGCTCCTGTTGCTGCTGATGGCATTGCTGGTGCGCTGCCTGTGGCTGCTCCTGGGGTTGCTCCCGGGATTCAGGCTGGGACAGCAGCCAGTCGAAGAAACGGGAGGCGGGGGACGGGAACGTTGACGTGGCGATTTGACTTTGGTCTTGCGACACTTTCGAACACAGCGGGGGATTGTCAGGCCGCGCCGGAAGTCTCTACAAGGAACAGAGAGATCACCAATAACAGGATTCAACACAATAAATGATGCTAGTTGAGCATTCATATCATCATGCACATATTCTGCAATAGTTAAATGAAAGCATATTTTCAGAAAAATATTCACCATGCACATAGAGACCTGGGGTACATATTTAAACGGTGCCAACTAGTGGATATTTAGGTAACACTTACCGTATCATTATTATCAGACATATCACAAAAATCATTTAGGTCCTTGCAATTAAGGGTAACAAGACATCACAACTTGGAATTTTTTGCCCAGCTGGCAACCAAAAGGTGACTAAAAAGATAGAAAATGCCTGCAGTATCCCATTTTATACAGTAAACTGGTCCAGTATGGCGCCAGGCCTAAGCAGCAAGTTACTAAGCGTGAACAGGTAGGTGAGAACCTAGGGGTGGGGGATCGGTGCTAGCTTATGAATGCATTTGCTGGTATAGTGCTACTCAAAAGTGTTAAAATTGGTGTAAAAATGGAGGGTAGTAGAAATGGTAGAGGAGGCATAGGTTACTCAGCTAGGTTGTACGAGCACACGCTTACTTTTACCGCTAGCTTACAATGTGCTACAACATGTGATGATACTGAAGTGTGATAGCAGCAACACCTCGCTCATGTGGAAACATTTGGAGACAAGCTCTATCTTACTACTGGTGATATTATGCCTGATGTGCTCACATCCCCCCCCCCCCCCCTCCCCCTTCCCCCTGACTGTGGTATCTGCACCTCTTTCTAACCCTCCAGTTAGCACCAATTATTTTAGCACTTCTGAGCAGTGACAGATAGAGATCTGATTTTCAGTAGCATGTGCTGCAGAGAGTTTTCAAATGTTTATTCATTATTCGTTCATCACTTCCACTAGCCTGCATCCAGTAGCAACCGACTTACTTCTGTGGCTTTCAGGTTCACCCATCGCTATGTCTTCCACGTACTCTGGTCTGCTCAAAGTGTAAGGCCAAGTACTTGGACGGAATTTCCGTAAATATAATATCACCATAGCATCCTCGGCTAGGTCAACAATCGTTCTTTTTCCTCAAAAATTTATTATACTGCTAGCGGTACAAATCTCAGGACGCATAGACACCTGTTTCTGATGCGACTTTGGAATAAAAGTACGACGACAACAACAACAACTAAATTACTTGAGAGAGAGGCAAGGGGAATGCGAGGGGGGGGGGGGGTGAGAGAAAGGTAGGTTTGCAACCTTCTTGCTCTGCGGGACGTAGATTGACAATTTGACACCCCAAATCACCCCAAGTGCTGGCTCTTTTCGTCTTACTCTTACAGTCTTAGTCTTACAGGTATGTGCTTGCTAGTCTAGTTCGTTCCACAAAGCGCCTGGGGAAGTACAGACTGTCAGTCATGGACTGCCATGTACTAGACTGACACTAGTACTGTAGTAGATCTACATGTAGTAGAATGCACGTACTTTTGGCAAGTAACACGTCGTTACCGGTAGTTTTGCACAAAGCCTGGCATCACATTTCCAGGAAGCTAGCGCTTCCACGAAGCATAAAACGCGAGAAAGTATGTCACAGTATTAGTCCGTGAGCCAAATCTCAGAATCGGCCGTTTTAGCATCGACCGTTGCACCCAGAGAGGGACAAATCGTCCTTCAGCACACCGCTTCACGATGGTATCCTGAAGCGATTTCCACTTGTTGGACAGTTCGAAACTGATCCAGGGAGGTCACAGAAGACGCCAAACATCCAACTTTGCTCATTGACAGCAGCGGCCATTTTCGCCTTCTTCGCTTGATCTTTTTGCGCTTGTTCACGGATTCTCATTTTTTGAAGCCATGAGCAGATACCACGAGTGCACATAACGCGGAAACCAGTGCACAAAACTAGATTCGAATTTTTTTGCCGCTGAGAATTATGTCATTTATGAATCGGGATGCAAACAGCAGCAAAGTCACTACTGTTTGTAGTTACAATGCAATCGTTCAGAACTGACTTCCAAGAATGTCCTAAATATCTCTCGACATATTTGTTCACCACTTCCTAGGCCAATAGGCGTAGTAGACTGTAGTGAGTAACCTTCTGGAGCAAATGACGACTGCCCCGAGCATGAACTTCTTTTCATCCTGTTCAAGGTCAAATATTACTCAGTTTGCGTTGAAGAATAACAATTACATTCGTGAATGGCCGAACTGAGAAAACCCTCATGATTTCTCTTGGATTTCGTATCCCAAGTTCCTCTACTTGGCTGGATAAATCGCCTCTTGACTTCATCATACTGGACTGGAACTTGTAGATAATAGCGAGCAATGAATTGGTGAGTGAAGTATATTTCAAAAGTAATAACCACTCGATTACTGAATACGTAGAATACTCCAGTATTATAATGATATGAACACTGAAGCTAATGTGACATTACAGTAGTACAATAGGAAGTACGTCACCACTGTTGTAAATGCACGCGCTGATTCTATCCAACCTGACGGCCAATGCAAGAGGTTGGAATTGGCTATTGATTTCCTAACACACTCATACAGCACCAAAAGCTATCTGTCATTGCTCATTTTCAACTCAACATAACACAGTTGCAAATCACCAGGTGCACATCTTGGCACATAATGTGTGCTGTCGCAGTCCACCGCAGAACATAGTAACAGATAACTACCGATATAAGATGATGTCACACACATACATGCATGCGCGCACCCACACCCACACACGTGCGCACACACACACACACACGCACACACACACACACACACACACACATGAAGCAGCTGAAGAATCCGACTATGCAGTCTCCCAGGCACGCGCACACACACGAACCAGCTGCCGAATCCAACTATACAGTCTCCCAGGCATGCACGCTCGCACACACACACACACATGAACCAGCTGCCGAATCCACACAAACACGCGCGCGCGTGCGCACACACATGAACCAGCTGCCGAATCCGACTATGCAGTCTCTCAGGCACGCGCGCACAAACACGCTTATTCGCACGCGTGTGTGCGCGCACACACATGAACTAGCTGCCGAATGCGACTATGCAGTCTCCCAGGCACGCGCGCGCGTGCGCACACACACACACATGAACCAGCTGCCGAATCCGACTATGTCAGTCTGCCATGACTGCGAAACCAGCGAAGACATACGGTGCATTGGCTGCTGCCAGACTGGTCTGCTACAGGTTTGCGACGCTCTTGAGTACACTTGTGGCATGGCAGGCCGCTCTTCGAAAAGGAAATGTTACAAATACTATACTGAATCCGATCACGGGAGGCCGGCTGTGGTGGTGAAGCAATTCTGACTGCTGTGCGCCACTCTCCTCGCTGCTGTGCAGTGTCGAACCAATGTCCTTCAAGATGTAAGTGATGGATGTCTCTTCGGACAACATCACACCAATGCTGTCGGGTTTCACACACACGGCGCACACCTTGTCGACAATTGTGGCATCTAAAACCCACCAACGACCTGAAACACGGATCGCACTGGCCGCAGTGGCTGTGGCAACACCGTGCCCCAACACCAGTAGTAGCCTGGGGTGGTGTCACCAACAAAGGAAAACGCCTAGCACGCACATGCACGCGCGCACACACACACATGCACGCTCGCACACACATGCACGCTCGCACACACACATGCACGCGCATGCACACGCACGCGCACACACACACATGCACGCGCCCACACACACAAACACGCGCACACATGCACGCTCGCACACATGCACGCGCGCACGCACACACACAAACACACGCACACCCAGAAATGTGCACACAAACACGTGCACACACACACATACACAGCTAATGGTATACAGTAGTATGTTGCCCGCAAAGCAGCCAGGTGCTCTGGCTTGGACCTCCAGCAGCGCTGGTTTCGCCTTCACTACTTGTCGTCTTGCCCTCTCCAGTGCTGCCTGCAACAAAACATTCCCTTCCGGAAACTCTGGGTGGACCAGTTCTCCGTGTTGTGTTTACACCGTGCTCTGCTTTCATAATTACCGGTATGGCATTCGTTGTTCGTATCAACCACTAAGCTCCTGGTAGGTGGCCCCTTACTGGCCTTAGGATGTGGCTCTGGGTTCACTACTACATGCACATCACTGTCAGCAAGCATAGACAAAGCAAAATCAGAGGCACTGGTCTTCTCCAGGTTTGCAATTGCTATCACATGGGTGCAATTGGTGTAGCACTTTCCATGATACCAGCCACACCATTTACTCCTCCCTGAGCTCTTGTGCTGGCACAGAAAAGCCCAGATATGGTCGTCCTTCTCTCGAGCAGCGCTGACGATGCGACACCAACTTGTAGTCTCGATATTACTCACTGCAGGCTTCTCGTTTTTACTAAATTGGGCGCTGTGACACAGACACAAAATTCCAGCAATATTACTCCGCTGGGCTGTCATTTGCCACTTCGTTGCCGTCAGCTGCCTCATCCAGCACCTCGCTGCCACTAGAAACGTCTTCCTCTTCTTCCATTGTTGTCAAAACAACATCAATGTACACGAAAGGAATAAACTTCAATAAAGTGATCACAATATCCCAAGTCGATATTGTCGTCAACGTCGTCATCTTCTAAAAAATAAATTATTTTTCCTCACTCCACGCGAACTCGTGTTTTGCGCTTGCTCATACGACGCACACCTCACCACTCGCGTAAAAATATTTGTTCTCACGATGGAATTTGGTCGAGAAAAGAAGCCCTCGCGAAGGTCTCTGGATCGGTTCTGGAACGTCCAACAAGCGAAAACGTATCCTTTGTGATGTCCTTGACCAACACTGTAAGCGGCGATTTGTCCATCCGAGAGTGCAACGGCACTTGTGATTTTGAGTTTTGGCTCACGGACTATATGTGAGACCATGACTCATGAGTGACTAGCGAGGTTTTGCATTCCGAAATTCGGCAAAAAGATTCGGCACGCGGGAGCGAGGTCGAAAATGCACGCGATCCGGCATGTTTGTTCGGAAAAAGCTCACTTTGCCGAAAATATTTTTCGGATGAATTTTCTGTAGAAGAGCGCTAGCGCGTGATTTATTCAAAGAGATTTCTTATCTCGGCATCGCTTCCCAGGCGTCTTTGGCGACATCAGCGTCGTCAGCTACCTCTGATTGCTCCTCCACTGCTTGTCTACTCTCTTTCGCCTGGAGTGTCCTCACCGTCATCTCTGTGGCTGAAAAGACTATGGCGACACGCATAACATTTGACTTGGGCATGGAGTTGGTTTTTCTGAGGCGACTGAGGGGGCAGGTTTGGCCCTCGACTCTTTGGGCGATCAAAGTTCGTTGGAATCAGCAAGAAATGGAGCA